TTCCCTGTTCCTTGGCGTAGCTGGGCCTCTCTTCAGTGCTCCCCCGCTTCCTCCTCTTCCCCCCAAGTCAAAGCCCCCCCTTTCAGCAGGCCTTCCCGGCACCTTGATGCTTCACTCCCCAGACTCACTGCCCTGTGTGACACTCAGTGCCCTGTGCGCACCAAATGCAGCCGGTCTCAGTGCTGCTGAGGTGGCACATGCTGGGCCTCACACACACCGAGTGCTGTGGCTGTGGCATTATTTTTCTCTTCTGCACAGGTGCCCCGCAACATATTTGTTCAACGGAATCGACTCTCCCCAGATTTCAATCCAAACAACTAATCTTATCCTGCATTTGGACAGTGCCGCTTATACCGTATAATGAGATGACACTCTCATTTGGAAAAAAGGCTAAAAATATTTTCACCAGAACTCCAGTTCTGCACTTACAGTTGCCCATCAACAGCTCTATTTAGATGTCTTACAGCTTATTTATTCCCACACTCAACGTTTCTGGGTGCATGTTCTGAGCCTGGTGCTGTCGGAGATAGTAAAGAAAAATAAGACACTAAAACAGATAAAAATTTAAAAATACACTGTTCTTGCCTTAGCCAGTTTGGTTCAGTGGACAGAGCATTGGCCTGAGGGCCAAAGGGTCCTGGGTTCCATTGCAGTCAAGGGCATGTACCTTGGTTGCAGGCTCCTCCCCGGCCCAGGCCCTGGTCAAGGCTCATACAGGAGGCAACCAGATCGATGTTTTTCTCTGTCTTTCGCCCTCTCTCCCACTCTCCCTAAAATCAATGGAAAATATCCGCAGGTGAGGATTAACACACACACACACACACACACAAAAAAAAAAATGACACTGTTTTCAAGAGGCTGATGTTTTATGAGGGAAACACAGTTTCACATTTGGGAAAGTGTAGTGAGGAAGTGAGAGCAGGTATCATGTGGAATGGCAGAGGGATGTTTATGATAAACCTGTTCTTCTCCTGGAGAAACACATATAGGTGGCAGGGAGTAGCAGGAACACACACATAGGTGGTATGGAGTAGCATGAAGACACACACATAGGGGGTATGGAGTAGCATGAAGACACATACACAGGTGGTATGGAGTAGCATGAAGACACACACACAGGTGGTATGAAGTAGCATGAACACACACACACAGGTGGTATGGAGTAGCATGAAGACACACACATAGATGGCATGGAGTAGCAGGAACACACACATAGGTAGCATGGAGTAGCAGGAACACACACATAGGTAGCATGGAGTAGCAGGAACACACACATAGGTAGCATGGAGTAGCAGGAACACACACATAGGTGGCAGGGAGTAGCAGGAACACACACGTAAGTGGCATGGAGTAGCATGAAGACACACACATAGATGGCATGGAGTAGCAGGAAGAACACACACACATAGGTGGCAGGGAGTAGCAGGAAGACACACAAAGATGGCAGAGAATAGCAGGAAGAACAGGTGAGACAGGCTTCGCTTTCTGGCCTGCCACCTTGCCGACTGTTTACCCTTTGAGTTCTTGCTTCTGCTAGAAGCTGTGAATATAGAAAACGAAATAACCTAGTAGAATATGTTTGAAACACTTTACATTAACTGCAACCCTAAGTACAAGCAGCTTTTTGTGTACAAGCACTGCTAAGCCATCCCCTCCTGCCAACTTAACTGCTCCCCCAAAAGGTCTGTTCTGCTCCAGTTCACTCCCAATCAGGCCTTTTATTTTTTTAATCAATATTTTTCCATTGATTTTTAGGGAGGGTGGAAGAGAGAGGGAAAGACAGAGAGAAAGTTGATGTGACAGAAACACATTGACTGATTGCCTCTTTCATGTGCCCTGACCCAGGTCCCGGGCCAGTGAGGAGCCTGCAACTGAGGTACATGTCCTTGACCAGAATCAAACCCAGGACTCTTTGGTCCTCAGGCTGGCACTCTATCCACTGAGCCACACTGGCCAGGGCCCAATCAGAATCTTGAAATCATTCTTGACAGACCTGCACGTCTCAGTTCCATTCCTTCTAACATGGAGATGTCTCTCCCTACAGGGTTGCTTTCTTTATATCACTCCCCCACACAAATATCTGCAGAGCAACGTCCAAACCTTAAGCTTGACCTGTAGGGCTGTTGGCAATTTGGCTCTATTTTATTTACCTGAACCTGTAACAGCGACTAGACTGGTTTCTCCACTGTCTCCTTGACAAACATGCCGAAGCGCAGACACACGTAACTCATTGTCACTTACTGTGGCCTCTCTGGTCTCACCGCGTCTCAGGGAGAGGAGAAGGGGACATACAAAGAAAGTGCAGTCCCTGATTGGTGGGACAGGTGCCATTTCCCTGCCGAGAACGGCCTTCCTCCTGTTCATTCTTCAGACCATGCTAACCACCGCCTCCTCTGGGAGGCCTTCCCTGCTTTCACTTTCAGCTCTGTGCTAAGTAGATCTGACTCAGTAAGTCTGCGTCGGAGCCAGAGAGAGTACATTTATTTCAAACAGGTTCCGGTAGCAGGGGCCTCTGTGGGTACTGCTGCTGTGGATTACCGTCCTAGCATTTTCCTTCCCTGGCACACTAACCTCCCTAAGAAAACATACATGCCATCTCTGCGGAACAGCCCCCGAGCCCCACAGCTAATTGCCGGCACGCAGGAAGTGCTGGCTTTGACTGGCTCAGAGTCTCTCCAGGCGTGTTCTTTTTTTTTTTTTTTTTAAATATATTTTATTGATTTTTGTACAGAGAGGAAGGGAGAGAGATAGAGTTAGAAACATCAATGAGAGAGAGTCATCGATCAGCTGCCTCTTGCACACCCCCCACTGGGGATATGCCCCCAACCAAGGTACATGCCCTTGACCGGAATCGAACCCGGGGCCCTTCAGTCCCCAAGCCGATGCTCTATCCATTGAGCCAAACTGGTCCCGGCTCCAGGCGTGTTCTTACGTGGTGCTTGCAGCAGCCCGCCAGGAGGAGGAAGGCAGGCTGCCGGGAAAGCATCAGAGTCACCGCAGAGCCGAACCGGCTGGCACGGGCTCAGGTTTGCAGCCACGGGGCAATCCACCGGGCAGTCTCCCTGCACTGGCTCCCTGGGCGGGTGTGGAACTTGAAGCCCACTGCCCCTTCTCTTAGGCAGGGGGAGGGCCCCGCCGGCGTGAATCAGTGGATGAGCGTTGACCTATGAACCAGGAGGTCACGGTTCCTTCCCGGTCAGGGCACATGCCAGGTTGTGGGCTCCATCCCCAGTGTGAGGGTGTAGGAGGCAGCTGATCAATGACTCTTCCTCATCATTGATGTTTCTCTCTTTCTCTCTTTCTCTCCCTTCCTCTCTGAAATCAATAAAAAAAAAAATTATTTAAAAAAAGAAATGTGGAGGAAGGAATTGACATTTATTGAACGATTACTCTCTGCCAACTTCTGGGCTGGAGGGGTGTAGACACATCTCAGGGGCCAGGGAGTATGGTAAGTGGTCCCCCACATGCAGAACACTGCGGCCAGGACACCATGTTTTCTGCTCCATTGCATAGCACAGAAGAGGCAGCAGTGGCCAGACACATGGGGAGGAAATGACTTTATCTGACCGGAGGTCAATTATGTGTCCAGCTGCACTATTCTAGATGCTGTCACCTACATGGACCCATTTAATGCCCACAGCGACCTCCTGTGAGAGGCGAGGTGACTGGCTCAGAGAGGTCAGACTGTTTGCCCAAAGCCACACAGCGGAGGACGGAGGAGAGGAAAAGCTGGCACTTCCTGTCTGTCTGACCCTGAAGCCCGAAAGGTGTCCTAGCCCTGTCCTGTGGCCACATCCTGAGGTCTCTGCACAGCACACCATGGTCCCAGGTCTCACCCTGAGGACTGACTCAAGACTGCTCCCGGGTGCTAAGGGTGCACAGGAGAGAGGAGGAATTCGCTGGGAGACCAGAGCCTTGGATCAGCCAGGCGGCGGGGGGGCCTGGGTGGCGGGCCCAGGAGGCTGCCTCCACCAGGTCACTGGAGGTGGAGCCTTGCAGAGGGATGCTCCCTCCACACAGACACTCCCCTTCACAGACCCTTCCAAGGACAGGCCTCCTGGACGCAAACCGCAGATGGCAGATCGAGGGGAGGGGAGCCGGGCGGCTCAGGTTCAAGGTGACACCCGCACACACAGAGCCAGCCTGCCACTGTGTCCAGACCCACCCACAGGGCAGCACATGTGACCCCCCCCCCCCAGGCTGCTCACACCCACACTCCCACTCACCCACGGGGGTGCAGAGGGCGCAGCCTGCACCAGCCACTTTGGAGGGACCACGGATTGTCAGGAGGGTCGGGGAGAGTGGGTGGTATTTTCGCCATCGCTGCCAGGCCCGCCCCCTGCTACCCCAGCGGCTACCAGCTCGGAATTAGTCTCATCCTCAGAAGGGGCTCTGGTTCCTTTGCTGCTCAGCCTAGTGCCCTCGGGCCTGAGCCCCGGAGGCTTGGAGGTGTGGGCGGGGAGGGGCTGGGGTGGATGCCGGCGGGGGAAGGGGCAGGCGGAGGGAGGGCTGGACGCCGGAGTCTGTCTGTCTAGGGCTTCTGGGCTGGCTGGAGGTCAGAGGAGCTCAGGCCTCAGGCTGTGCTGCCCCCGTGGCAGCCCAGACCGTGGGGGACCCAGGATTCCCCGGCCTCCCAGGTGCCAGGAGCGGTGGTGCGGAGCCTGATTCCCCAAACACTGAGGTCTGGAGTGGTGGGCGCGGGGCTCCGGCTCGGCCAGGCTGACACCTGTTCCCAGCGACACGTGGTGTGGACCCTTCTCTGGGGCGGGCTGCCCGCACAGAATATTTCTGCCCCAAATCTTTACAAAGGGGCGTGTGAGATGGGAGTGAGGAGAGGGCGGGGGGGAGGGGTAGGGCCCGGGAGGCCTGAGAGGGAAGGGGAGCTTTGGGAAGGACAGGTGACCCCAGCTGCCACCGTGGCCGCAGAGGAACGTCTCCCCGGAGGGTCACTGCCTTCCACACCACCCAGCCCACATTCGCAGGGGCCCCGCTGCCCTTACCGTCTGGGGGGGGCTGCCCACGGTCATCTCCACGTAGTAGCCCTGGCCGGACTTGCCCCGCAGGTTGTCCACCATCTCCACGAAGCTGCCCCTCCGGCCGGGCTCCTCGGGCTCCTCGGTGTCCCGGGGCAGGCGCAGGCCCAGCGGGGCGCCCCCCAGCCCGCTCCGCAGGGGCAGCCGGATGCCGGGCTGGGCGCAGCGGGCGGGCAGCACCGCCGAGCCCACCCACAGCAGGAGCCAGGGCAGCGCCGGGGCCATCGCGGCCCAGCCCGGGCCCTCGGGCTCACGCGGGCCCGCGTCCGCCCTAAGGCCGGACCCCCACGCTGGGTGCCGGCGGTCTCTCAGGAGAGGGAGCCGTGCAGCATCGGGCTCCCGCGGGCCTGGACCAGCCGGCCCCGCGGTGGGCCGGCAGGAGCGATCGCAGAGAGCGCGAGGGGGAGGCGGATCTCGGCTACATCTGGCCAGAGGCGTGCAGCCTCCGCACAGGTCGGGGAGCGGCCGGCCTGGGCCCCCCGCGGGCGCTGGAGGGGGCGAGCATGGCCGGTCGGCGGCGCTGGGTTCCTGGGGCTCCCGGCAGGCCGGCGGCGGGGAGAGGCATGGGCTCCTGCAGCTGCACCGCCGCTCAGGCCACCATCCTCCGGCTCCCACTCCCAGGCAGGCTGGGCGGCGGAGAGGCTTGTGGGGTGGCTGTCAAGCAGAGGTCTCCCGTTTCGTGGGATCGCTGGGAAGTGTAGTCTTCCCGGGCAGCAGCCAGCTTCCGGGGCTGGTGAGGGGTCTGGGATGCCCTCTGCTGAGCTGGAGTCCACCCTGCAGCACCTGGCGGGCAAGGTGGCCTTGGCCTTGGCGGGGCGGGAGGACCCACTGGCACAGAGTGGTACCAACCTCCCAATGTCAGTCCTGCATCCTGCATTTATTAAGCACCCCCTGTGCGCCAGGCATTCTGCCCAGCCCTGCGGAATGAAGGCACAGGCACCGCACAGAATGAGGTGGCGGCTGATGTTATCAGTACTACAACTTCGGAGAGAAAGCACTCCAGCAAAGTCAGAAGTCACAGACTAGAAGATAACATTTGGCACACAATAGAGAAACAAAAAGTGAATTGCTATAATACAAGGAGTCAATAACCCCCCCCCACACTGGTAGAAATATGAATAAATGATGTAAACAGGTAATTAATAGAAGAAATTCAAAAGGTCAATAAACCTGAAAAAAAGCTTAACTTCATTCATAGTGAAATAATGTAATTAAATCAACATGTAGATAGCATCATTATTCATTATTTTGCTTCTCATATTGGTAATAACTGGTGTGAAGTAGTTGGTTGGGCTGTAAATTATTCTATTCTTTTCTTTTAAAAAATTATTCTGTTTTTAGAGAGAAATTTGGCAATATCTATTAAAATGTAAAAAACATACTCTGAGCCAAAACCGGTTTGGCTCAGTGGTAGAGCGTTGGTCTGCGGACTCAAAGGTCCCGGGTTTGATTCCGGTCAAGGGCATGTACCTTGGTTGCGGGCACATCCCTGGTGGGGGGTGTGTAGGAGGTAGCTGGTCGATGTTTCTCTCTCATCAACGTTTCTAGCTCTCTATCTCTCTCCCTTCCTCTCTGTAAATGGTCAATAAAATATATATATTTTTTAAAAAAAAACATACTCTGAGCAATGTCAATTCTAGAATTCTATACAAAAACAACAGTATTTCAAATATAAAAATAACAGTATTTCAAATACAAAAATAACAGTATTTTAAAACAAAATAAGTGATTATAAGTAAGTGAATGAGACATTCATTGAATAGAATGCTATGAAAGCATTATAAAGAATAGAGTGGCATCCTAGCCGATTTGGCTCAGCAGATAGAGCTTCTGCCTCTGGACTGAAGGGTCCTGGGTTCAATTCCAGTCAAGGGCACATGCCCAGGTTTGGGGCTCCATTCCCAGTGTGGTGTGTGCAAGAGAAGCCAATCAATGATTCTCATCATGGATGTTTCTCTCTCTCTCTCTCTCTCTCTCTCTCTCTCTCTCTCTCTCTTTTTCTCCCCTACCCCCTCTTTCCCCTTCTCCCTTCCTCTCTGGAATAAATTAAAATATGAGAAGAAGAAGAAGAAGAAGAAGAAAAGAAAGAAAGAAAGAAAGAAAGAAAGAAAGAAAGAAAGAAAGAAAGAAAGAAAGAATAGAATGCCCTGGCTGGGATGGCTCAGTGGATAGAGCATTCACCTGCTTACCAAAGGTTCAAGGGCTCCATTTCTGGTCAAGGGCACATACCAGGTTCAATTCTCACCCTGACTGGGGAGCCAGCTGGAGGCAACCAATTGATGTGTCTCTCTCATATCAATGTTTCTCTGTCTCCCACCTCCTCCCTCCCTCTTTTCCATGCTGGAAAGGCAATGGGGAAAAAATACCTCAGATGAGGATTAACAACAACAAGAAGAACAGAATAAAGTAACTTCTTTCAAAAACAAATATTTTTGTTGATTTAAGAGAGGAAGGGATAGGGAGAGAAAGATAGAAACATCTATGATGTGAGAGAATCATTGATCAGCTGCCTTCTGCACCCTCCCACTGGGGATTGAGCCCAAAACCTGGGCACATGCCCTGACCAAGAATGGAACTATCAAACCACTGAGCCATGCTGGCCAGGCCTGAAGTAACTTCTTATCAAATTTACATTGGAAATTGTTTATGACATGTTAAATGAAAGAGCCCATTGTAAAACAGTAAGTACATTATGACCTCATTTCTATAAAAATTAAAAAGTATGCACATGTGCATATACATGTTTATGTATAAATTTACATCCACATAAGCATGAAAAGTTCTGATAGACAGGAACCAAACGTGGTTTCCTCCAAGGGGCGGGATTCATGTCTTTCTTCATTTGCTCATTCATTCATTCAGCCCATCATTCACTCATTCATTCATTCATTCATTCAGCCAATGTTTTTTGAGTGCTTACTACATTCTAAGCATTGTTTAGGCACCGTGGATACAACAATAAAGTGGACAAAACTCCCACCCTCATGCACTTACAGACAGTAAAGGAGTGAATATACAATATTTCAGGTGGTGACATGCTGTATGGAGGAAAATAAAGCAGAGGGAGAAGGATGGGCAGGCCCCGGTGTTAACTAGGGTGGATTGAAAGTGTAGAGGGAACATTTCACATCTTTATATAATTTTTTAAAATGGCAGAATTAGTAAGTGTTTTTCTTTCTTATTATGTGGTTGATTATTTTGTATATTGTAAGTAAATAGCATGAAACAAGAATAAGTGTTTTAACAGTGGAATTTCTGACCTGGGGGTAGGGCATAACATTTGAGACTGATGTGGTTTTTTCCTCCCCTGTCTTTGAAAAACCATCCCTAAGTACCGCTGACTGGAGAAGAAAACCTACCGTGTGGAATTCCGTCTCTCTTCCTCGTTACTGGGCTTATTACATCCGTTGGTGTGTCATTTGTGTTATTTCCCCCCAAAGACTTGCTTTCTTAATTATGTTAGCCTGAGGGCCGTTAAAAATTGGTTTGCATTTCTGAGTACAAACCTATAGGGAAACCTGATAAAAATGCAAATTGCTTATCTGTGTGCGGTAATCCCATTAATTCCACAATGACCCTCATTTTACTCTCCCCTTGACCGAGCAAGGGACACCTACTAAGGGACAAAAGTTAAGAGTTTTGATGACTATTAAAGTCAATCAATTGACTGCAAGTTCTTAAACATAGGGAAGTCCACAAAAGGTTTTTCGAATCCCTGTAGTGTGCAAGGTTTGTGATGTACACTGTGAGCCCTTCTGGTTCTTTCCAGTGGGGCTCTGGCTTCTCTGAGAGCCTCTTAAGGAGAGGGGACAGGAAGGGCGAGCGAGGATTTGCCACGTGCAGGCAGAATGAAGGCAGTCTAGGCAGAACTGCCACAGCAAGGTTTAAAGTTAAACACGAGGACTACGTTCTGGGAATCTGGTGGGGGATCAACAGGAACAACAACCTGGTTTCCTTATTCTGCCATCAGCTCTGAATGGCATGTAGTTGCGGGGTTCGGGAAAGCAGACGCCTCTCCGCAATGGACCTTATCAGGAGCTTCTCCAGGTGTGCCTTCTCCTTTTCAGCCAGTGAAGTAATGTGGGATTTGTAACTCACCCCTCCGTTTTTTGACACTGTTTCCGTAAAATTGACTAATGTGTAGCTCGTAGAGAAACGGCCTGCTCTTATAAGAATCCCAGGCACTCCCTTCAGAAGGTGCAGACTCTGGCCTTTGGTTATCCCAGCTCTGGGAGCCTGGTTGGCCTTCAACCACAGAACGATGACGACACAGAACCAGAGTGATGTAGAAGCAGGAGGACGCACACCAGATCATCGTTTGGCCAGTTTCAGGATCCTTCTCAGAATGGACTGAGCTGCCTGCACGCAGAGACCTTTTCAGCCCCCTTCCCTTGATCTCTTTGTTCTGCATTGCCTCTCCTCCTCAGAAAAACCTCTGCCCGCACTAAGAGGCAGAGATGGGCTTTGAGTCCTCCAGCCCTCACACCTCTTTCGGTTTCACCAGCATCTGTCTCAGGAGTTTGTTTTTTTCATGGTGCAGGCAGCAGAACCTCGATTCCGGTTATAGTAACATCTCTTAACTTTCCTGTTCCCCAGTTTTCTGATTGATAATGGCCAGAGTTGTCTTTGCCACTCTTAACCTTCTCTAGGAGGTTGAGAACATATGAGAGAAAGATTTTTGTTCTCTCTGTAAGCAAAACTAAAGCTCTTTGGAGTTATATTAGTAGCAACCCTTCTGCCAAATAGGGTCTGCGGAGGGGTTATACACCATGTCACTCTTTTTCCTCTTAAACAGTCTATTCAAAATAGTTAAGACAGATATTATCCCCATTTTGCAGATATGCAAACTGAGCCCATGCTCCGGTGAAAGGATGAGCAGTAGAAACTAGGCTTTTAACTCCGTGTCAGGTGCTCATTGATTTAATCAGAGCACAAGGCAGCCATTCTTCTTTTTTGGGGGGGAGGAGGAGTGAGGGGGATTTGAGGCTTATGGGTTGATTATTTATGATCAGTGCACTGTTCACTTGATATTAATCACACTACTAAAAAGTGATGAACAATAAATTGCCCTAGTAATTCACGTTACCATAAATGCACCTTTCCTGCCTGGGAAGGAATCCCCCACATACTTAAATTCAGAGCTTTCTTTTAGCCCCTTGCGGAGCCACATCCAGGATCTTGGACTACATCTCCCATTGTGCAACGGGAAAGGTGCAGCACTCTTC